TAATAATAATAATTAAGTTCATTACTAGACTACTTTTTTTTTAGTCAAATTAAGTTCATTACTAAAGCTACTGTATTACAATAATAATAATAATAATAATTGTATAATACTATATTACAATAATTAAGTTCATTACTAGACTACTCTTTTTTTTTTCTTCATTATAAAAACTTGTATGCACAATAATTGAATTAATAATTACTAGACTGCGGATGTTTTTGCAAATATAATTTAAATATTTCTCTTATCATTTCGATTAAAGATACAATTGAAGAAACGAAATCCAAGCAGAGTTATCTGACTCATAGAAAAGTGTTAATTTTCAGATAGAATCATACAAAATGCAAAATGGTTATTTGCCTGCGAATCTATATTTTCGAGATTTGAAAGAACTTTGGCAGAGAATTGTTTTTGCCTGTGAAACATTAGAAAAAAGCACTGTACTTTAGATATTCTACATATATTGCAATTTCTGTGCAATTTTGCAACTTTCAAATTTTTTTCAAACGCATAAAAATCCACGGTGTAGTTATGAGAAAAAATTTTTTTTTCATTTTAGCATTTAAAAAAGATACCAATTATATTTAAGAGAGTATCATCTGATAAAAGCGACAAAATTATATAAGATAGTTTACTTTAAGCAACATATAAAGATTTCATTATCAAGTAGTTAATCTTAAACATGAAACATTAAACATAATTTGTTCATGTTTGAAAAAAAAAAAAAACTATCTTACAAAGAGAAATTGAACAATATTAATTTAATTAAGAATTTAAAGAACAAAAATTATTATTCCCTTACTAATTAATCAGTCTACTAATTAATCTCTTACAACACTATCAAACTATATTTTGCGTCTTTCTTTCAATCTTTCCAATTTATCTAAATAAAAGATACACAAGATAACTCGTCATCACAAGTATTGTAGAAGTAAGCAGCGTTATCAAATTAACTTTTAAAAATGGTTATATCATTCGTTAAAAACGTAATTGTCCACGTTTCATTCTGCAGGAACGCCAACTGTGGTGAAAACGAATATTTTAATAAGAAGTATGGGCCCTGTATCGGAACTCGACATGGTAGGCAGATATATTTCTAATATAAGCGATATACAATTCTTTCAGTAACTTTTGAATTTTACACTCTTGTCATTTTTATCATTAGTAAATTGTCGATAACACTACCAGCCTGTTAATAGTAATTAATAATAATTTACAGGATTATTCGATGGATTGTTACTTTCGTCAGTCTTGGCGTGACTCGCGTTTAAGTTTCTTGGGTCCAATAAAATCGCTCAGCTTGAGCATTAAAATGTTAGAAAGGATCTGGAGGCCAGACACCTATTTTTATAATGGGAAACATAGCTACGTGCACACAATCACCGTGCCGAATAAATTGTTGAGGATCACGCAGGATGGAGACATCCTTTATTCCATGAGGTTCTCACTATTTCAAGCGACTTAATTTCCTTTGTTTTCATAAACGTTAGAATAAATTCCCATTGTTTCAAGAACGATACAAGCTCAAAGTTAATCATTTCCAAGAAATATATGTTAAAATTATAAATTTAAGATAAATATTAAAATTGAAATGTATATGCGTAAAATTACATAATGTATCTGAGTGCAAAAGTAATATCTCAGCAATCAATTGTTAACTCTGTGCTATGTCAAAATGCAAGTAATTCAATGTTATTTAATTAACATAGAATTCAATGATATGCTATGTCTGTGTTCATAACAGGCTTACTATAAAAGCAAAATGTCCAATGGAGCTTCGAAATTTTCCCATGGATCGGCAATCCTGTCCACTTATTCTTGGAAGTTGTAAGTATATACCTTTACAAAATATTTAATACGTAAATAGGAATGAAGGAACACGCGACTAAGACTTTTGCTTTAATTTTAAGTTACTTACATTAACTTATAAAACATACATTATATATAACATACAAAGAAAAGCAAAAGAAGGGTACGTTAAAAAAAAAAAAGAAAAAATTTAGTTTAGCATTGTTAATGATCGAGGTTTCCGAAGTTTTTGATTTGTTAACAACCGTGTTACTTAATCACGTTGAATATCTCCGTTGTTTTTGAAAATATGAAAAAGCTTTGTTAACAAAAGTTGTACAGAGGCATCTATGATATGATGATCACCTCCACTTTTCCAAATGATGTGATATATTTTTTACGTCATTAATCGATGCTGATATTCTTTATAAAAGAAAGTATTAACTTATCGAGGTTGATATAATATCTCTATAAAAAAAAAAGTATTAACCTACGTACATATGTCGAAAGACTATTAGATTAGGAGATATTTCAATTTATTTATTCTATAAATAAATCTAATTTATTTATAGAATAATAATCTAATAATCTAATAATCTAATAATTTATTTATAGAATAATAATTTATTTATAGATAGAATAAATCTAATTTATTTATAGAATAATAATCTAATAATCTAATAATTATTATAGAATAATTATTAGATATTTATTATATAATCTATTATAATAGATATATATTATTATATTACATATCTATTATAATAGATTATATAATAAATATCTATTATAATAGATAATATATTATTATATTATATATATAATCTAAAATTTATTTATAGAATAATAATCTAATAATAATCTAATTTATTCTATAAATAAATTCTATTCGTGTGTGATTTCTTCTTCGAATGTTTGGGATAATTTTCAATATATTTCTTATGTCGCACGACGCGTTTAGAATGATTCTTAAAATGGCAATTTTCCATTTTCTCAATATTGTTGGAATATTTTCGACACATTGACTTTCTGATAGATTTAATTTGCACTGATTTCTTTCTAAATGTGTGTCTTCTAGTTTTCAGTTCAATTTATTATTCCAAGTGAAGATATTTAACACATTGGTATTGGTTACCATAATTTCTGCTATTATAGTCACTTGAGAGATCAAAGACGAGTTCACTCTGTATAAAGAAAATTTTTTTTAATAAAGAACTGTCGATCACATTCTTTTTATTTCATATGTTTCTAGATGCATATACGTCAGGCCAATTAATCTACGAATGGCAAGAGGGTTCCTCGGTGAATTTCGTTCCTGGAATGGCTCTCTCGCAATTCGATCTAATGGGTTCGCCATATAGAAATTTAACTTTCGTGCGCCGCGAGGGCGAATTTTCAGTTCTTCAAGTATCGTTCAACTTGCAACGAAATACCGGTTATTTTCTCATTCAAGTAAGTCGACACGAATAATTCCTTCAATTCCTACATACAGAATATAGGTATTTAATAATAACATTAAATACTGATAAATATAAAATTCTTACTCAATCATTATCCCCGGATTATTCCTATTGTTTCGCGATGCAAATGGTTCAATAATTAATTAATCAATTATCGCAGTGTTTAAATCAAACTATCGTTCTCATCACAATGCGAACTTTTCCATTACAAATTATATTTCTCTCATAAAAATATTATATGTGATATAATTCTATTTAATTACTATTTATATTTTTCTACTTTCTATTTAATAAAAATGGAAATCTTATAGATATGCTATATCATACGTTACAATTAAACTAATAAATAAATAATAGGTTTACAATTAATAATAACAAGTATTATTAATAATAAATATAAATGTAATTATATTTATTATTAATAATACTTATTATTATAAATATTTATTATTAAATAATTAATAATAAATATAATAAGTATTATTTATTATTAATAATAAATAATACGTTTACAATTAAAAACTTATAAAACATATACTATCATTTATACAATCTAGTTTTATTTCTAATAACACTGTTTTTCTTCTGATTTTGTTAGGTTTATGTGCCTTGTGTCTTAATAGTAGTCTTAAGTTGGGTATCTTTTTGGATTCATCGAGAAGCTACTAGTGATCGAGTTGGTTTAGGTAAGTCAATCTTTTCAAATAAATATATATGTGTTACATTATTATTATTATTATTATATATAATTAATTATATATATATATATATAATTTAATTATATGTACATATATGTATATATTAATGATTAAAATATACTAATGACAGATATATCTCGTGATGAAGAGAAAAATTTTCTACTATTTTATATTGTAAAGCCTCATGATCATAAGTGCGTAAATTCTATTTCAAATTTCAATACTCTTCCGTATTTTATTATACTAATGCCATTATAATACTACAATATGTTGAATTATTTATTATATTACTAATATATTATAATATATACTAATATATTACTAATATATTACTAATATTATTACTACTATTATAATATATACTAATATATTACTAATATTATATTACTATTAATTATATTATTAATATGATATATTATACTATTATCCTGTTTTTCTCTATCACTTTCACAATTTCTGATATATCGATATATTTTTCCATATACTTTTTAAATATCCTTTAATCATTTTTTATAATTAATACTTCATCTCATATTTAATATACAATTGAATGTATGAAATAGAAATTTCTGTGAAATTTGCTACTATTGCTAATTTTTAAATATTTATGTTTAAATATTATGTTTAAAAAAAAAGCATAAACATTCACGAAATTTTCTTCAGGTTCTTTAGGAAAAAATGGTTTATATAGGGTGAGCCACTTAAATGGAATCGCTTAAATAATTCTGTTGTTTTTAGAATTATTGGTAAACTTTGTTAATAAAAGTTATTCAGTGCCGTAATAATTTTTTTGCACATAGAGAGATTTCGAGAATTTTAAGGTGCACCTGCATTTTTTTAATTTACTAATTGATGTAACTCAACATTCTCTATAACGTATTAATTAATATCGAGAAACTACTAGTTTAGGAGACATATTAATCTTGCATTTTTAATTTGCAAAATTTGTCGAATGAAAGATAAGGAAAGACAGGAACTCGTCGTTTAAAAAGCTCGTATTATGTTGCGTAATAAATTATTACAGTGCTGTTATTCATTTGCCAAATAAATTATTATTTTATATCACAATTGTTTCGATAGTTACATTTTATATTGCGTAACAAATTACTACAACAATTGTTATTCAATCATATAAATTATTATTGTAGGTATCACAACTGTTTTGACACTGTCGACGATTAGCCTCGATTCCAGAACAGACTTACCAAAAGTTAGATACGCCACTGCTCTCGACTGGTTTTTATTAATGAGTTTTGGATATTGTATTGCTACTTTGTTAGAATTCGCTGGTGTGCATTATTTCACAAAGGTACGCATAATACTCAGTTTTATTATGATAGAGAATAAAATTATATAATATATTATATAATGTATAATATAATAAAATTATAAAATAGAGAATAAAATTACAGCAATTAAAATTGATGGCACAGAGCAAGAATGTTCACCGAAATTATGGTAACAATAATGGAAGAATCAATCGTCGAGAATGGTGAACAGAAAAACCATAGTTAGAAAAAAAAATAACATAGTGACTAGATAATATCTAGCTCTTTTCTCAGAATTACTCGATCTTCTTGGTACATACTTAGTTGTTGCTCAAATTGGCGGTGCTCTTGCAGTAGTTGTAACTCTTTAAGTCTGCTTTTTCTTTTTCATTCTGAAACACGATTCGATCTGATCAGCTGTTATTTTTTTTTTTTGTTTTAATTGTGATATATGTACAATTTTTTTTTTGTTTCAATTGTGATATATATATACAATTTTGTTTTATTTTAACTGTGATACATGTATAGTAAAACGGATCATCACCAGCTGGACAAAATTCAAAATAAATGATTTTATTATATTTATCACTTAATATACTTACAGTTACATATATTTCATATCAAATATGGAACGTGATTGGTTAATTCATCTTTTAAACAAAGCAACTATAACATACTGAGTATAAGAATCAAGAACATAGAATAGAATAGAATTAACAACAAAAAGTTACAATAATAACTTCCAAATAAAACTCAAAATAAGTAGACAACTGAGTAGAACATTCTATACTATACAA